GCATGGCTGCATGGCTGCGGGCATGCTCAGTGAGCCCCCTGCTGGGAGCTGTGGGCACTGCGAGGTGACCCATTGCTCTTGCCTGTTCTGACGGTGGGTAAGGAATGGGGAGAAGGTCAGCTCCAGCTCTGCTACAAGACCTCTTTGCATATGTCGAGCTGGATGGTGACCTGGACACCCTCAGAGTGGAATCTCCATGGAAAATAAGTATGCTTTGTTTTTTTTTTAATGAATGGATTTGGTAAAATGTTTTCTTACTTTTTCCTAGACATCGCCTGGTGGTATTACCAGTATCATAGAGGTAAAAAAGTTTAAACTAACTTGACTACTTTGGTCACATTACTTTAAAAAAAAAGAGCTTCTTAATCAAATATATTTTGCAATTAGTCTACTCACTCACCAATTTTCTTTGCCTCTTGTTAAGAAACCCCACCTAGATAGAAACCGTTAAAAACATTCTTGAGAGACAAGTTATAGGAAAAGCTTTGCTCCCACTAAGAAACTGCTATGTTTTTTCTCTCATGGGCAACAAGATATATGGAAAAGCTCAGAGCCAGTTTGTGGTTCAAGTGTAGTCACTGCTTGGAACAAATGACCTGAATTTCTAAGTTCTTTTTTTCCCCATGGTCTTGACCTCCTAATCTAATTAACGTTTTCTAGGGCACTTTTTTCTTATTACTTTATCTCTTTATTTTATTATATTTATTTTATATAATCAGTTTTAAGTCCTTTGTGAAGCAAAACGGAATGTGTTTAAATAAACAAATAGTGAGGGAGAGAAAAGTTGGCTGACTAGGCGGTGAGTGAGGTAAGAAAATGTAGGTAAGTGGGAGGTAAGCAGGAGAGATCAGGACCTCAAATGCCTATGGGGTCAGGAAAGTAGCATAAATGAATTAAGTGAGCCACAGATGAACAGGGGGAGCACTAGAGACTTTGGCTGCTCAAAGGGAACAGCCTCTGCTCAGTTCTTGTAAACTATTGCTTTGTGAGAATTTGACACCAAAGTTGTCAGATAATCCCATTTTCCAAGAGAAATAAAAATCCTATTTTGTCAACCTCTCATCTTGAAATATTGGCAGTTAGTTCCAAAAACAAAAACAAACAAACAAAAAAACCCACCACATTTTATAGACTAAACAAGATCTGTCTTTGGTCTGCATTCTATGTCAAGGGCTACCATTTTGTAATGTCAAAACCAGATGGGGGATTATAAAGTCTAACCCAGAGACCCTAAGATGGAGAGACTATTTTCTAGCCCAGGGAGAAGGAGGTCATCATGGCCATGGTTTTTTGACTGCAGTCATGGTCGTGGAGCTAACAGAGGAGATACTCACTAGTGAGGAGACCAAAGGCTTGGGTCCTCCTACAGCGCATAGTCTCAGGGGCTAACTTATACACTGGCACAGAGCTTATCAGGAGCAGAGCTCCCAACATTGCAAACTTTGTAACATTGGTTACAAACCACTTTGCAGTCTGTGCTTGAGGCAAGCAGAAGCCAATGTAGGGGCACATGGAAGCCAGATCTATAAAAGAGACCCTGGACTGGCAGGATTCTAGGTCCCGTTCTGTCACGGACTGGCTGTATGACTCAGGCAAAGCCATGTAGTGACAGACTTGGAAGAGATCGCCTGTGTTAGAAGCCCTTAACATAGGCTCCACGTGTTTAAAATATGCAGGACCTAACTAAAAATACAGGAAAATGCCATAATTAGGTGCATTTTCTTTTTCTGAGGGTCTAAAGCTTTCATCCCCCATTCAGAGGAGTCTGTGACCTCAAAACAATAAGGACCACTTAATCTGAATCTTCTCCAACTTACCCTTCAGTCTGGGAATTTCCTGCTATAAATCCCCTACAGTTGGTTCTTCTATCTTGCCCTAACTACCCACAGTAATAGACAATTAATCACTGTTTAAGATACTCATGGTTAGAAAATCTCCTTATTTGTTAGGACACTCATCTTTCTAATATTCGGATAAAGAGAGTAATGGTCCCCCACTCCCCACCACACACAAGGTTGTAATGGGACAACAGGCATGAAAACATTTTACAGATTAAAAGTACTTTACCAACTGAAAGTATTTTAATTTATTCTTATTATGTAGTTATCGCCATAATATTACATTTCTAGGTTCTTTTGATGTCTATCATTCAAACTCAGCCTTAGTAATTGGCTCACCATTACTTTTAATAACAAAAATAATAATAAGCAATATTTTGCCTTGCAGACTCTTAACAGATCTCAAAAGGAACTGTCAAGGTGGCTCCCCACCTACTAATTCTGTTTTCTTCTTCCTCCAACCAGGGAGCTGAGCAGCCCTCCTTCCTTTACTGGGGCCACCTGGGCAGCACCCAGGGACTCCCTGGAGGTGGGGGGAGGGGGAGGCAGGGTTGGTGCAACAGGAGGAATGTGGAAACCTCAGCAGCCCCTTCAGAAATTTCTTCAGAATATATTTACAGTGGTTGGAACCAGACAAAGGCGGTGAAGGGAGAACAGGCATGAGGGAAGGGAATGCTGAGATGTGGGCCCTTCTAGAACGTTGTCACAAGTTACAGACAACTTAGATCTTCCATTCACAGGTCATGACACATGAGGGTCACAATCAGCATAATTTTACAAAGGAGTAGATTAAAATTGAGAACAGAGTACATCTCACATTAATAGAGGAAAGTGTTTAAGGAATTTTTCCTTCAAAATGTTTCATGAAATCTTTGTTTATATGTGTGTATATACTGGAGCGTGATGTAAATTGTCGTTCTTCCTATGAAACACAGTAAAACAAAAAATTGGGAACCACTGGTTTAAGACATGCAGGCTACTTCCCAGCATCTTGATCAACAAAGACATGAATTTCCTTCAGTGACTGATGCTCCCACAGCCTGACAATTAGGAGGTGATGAAAAGTAAAACCAAAACAAAGCTTGGCAGTCAGCATCCCAATATTCAGAAATTACGGAATCTGATATGGAAATCGATCCTGCTACCCAGACAGCAAACAAATCATTTATTGATAAAGTCAATTTCTCCCTTAATGAAGTGGGCCTAATATTGGATATTTCAGTAACTACTTAGTGTATTTATAATAGAGATGGTAAGTGCAGCTTATGAATTGGAAAGATTCTCTTAAACTTCCTCAAAGAGACTTCCCTGATCTTGTGAAGAATTTGGTCACAAGAAGATTAATAGAAATGAGCCAATATTGCAAAAGAAGTCTTTTAAGCTTCTGCATAAGTTAAACTGGGAAAGATATACCAGACACCTGCAAAAATACATCATTTCTGTCTTTCTGGTTTACATTTTAATAGTTCACCTCTTTTCCGAGTTTTAAATATCTGTATTTTTCAAAATAAAATTGCTATTAAATCTAATACTGGGAAATTTAAACCAACAATTTTATTTCTATTTTTAAATGAGCTAAAAATATATGTGAGTATTCTGAATTAGTTTTATGTGGGGGGGAGTTGCTTTTGGGGAGGGGAATGGCCCTTTGATTTACATAGAAATGCTGCAGTGTTTAGGTAATTGCTACTTAACTTGCTAGCTACAAACATAACAATAATTAAAGGCTCTGTAAGAATTACAAAGAAATCGGTCACTTGTAGCTATGTTGTATAATCGGAGTATCCTATTTATATTGAATAATCTGCCCTACTCCCCAGAGGATAAGGTGATACCTGTTGCCCAGCACATAAGAAAGATGACCAAGTACCAAGTTCTTCTGCCTCTCCCTTGGAACCTTACCCAAATGTCCATTTCCTTAGGAAGATGTCCAAGATACAAACTCACTTTGATGGATTCCTTTTGTTTTGAGATCACAGTCTCAAAAGAAGAAGTGACAACTGGAGGGCAAATCTGGTAGCAAGAGCTTGGCACTGACTGGAGAAATGTACTCAGTGTTAAGCACCTGCTCATCCTATTCTCTCAGACAGAAACGCAGCCTGTCCCCACTCTCCGTGGTCATGGGATGCGATGTGGAGTGTGCGCGTTCCCAACACCCTGTCCATTTCATCACTATTCTTGCCAGCCCAGATTTACAGTCGTTCAATATATGGATTTGGTAATGTCTGCACGACAACAACGGGCAGAGAAGGTTAGCCGACAATTGATACTTGATTGGAGTAAATTTATAGAAAGCGTCTGGCAGGACCCAAAGGAAAACATTTATCCTTCTGGGATGGTCAAACGTTGAAACTTCCACTTATTTGGATTTTGTGATCCTTCAGTAGGTGATGGGCGGATTTCTTGCTTTCATAGACTGACACTTTCTCAATAACTAGTACAAAATTACATTATTTTGTCATACTTATTGGAGGAACAAACTGCTACTTCAGACAACTGCTTTCTGAGCTCTTCAAATGCTTTCAGAAGATTTGATTTATATCAAGTAGTTCCCATTTAAGTCATCTTCCTATTATTTAAGAACATCTAATAGATATTACAAAACAACACTGTAAAATGCATTTGCATTCTTAAGTTAATATTTCACATGCCATAATTGGAACTCTTTGCTAAATCATGTTAGACTTCATCTAATTGTACCAAATGGTAAGGCTTTGCTTTACCTTTTTAATAGATTTGTTTCCCTTCCCTGTTTGGAAGCTGTTAACCATTCCACTCACTTACCTGTGTCTCTAACATGGTTCAGCGAGGAGCAAATTGAATGTGCAAAGAAGTTATTTTGAAAGAAAGGGAAATGTATTCATATAGATTTACTTTGAGCCCATCTACCCTCATCTCCACTTGGAATGTGTTTCTCTCCAGCCTGAAGCTCCCTCCCTGTGTGGTCTGACACAGCTGGCCCAAAGGCTGGACCGAGTGTGAGACAGAAGTGACTAGGCAGGGGGCGGGGGGAGGCCCAAGGGAGAAAGATCATCTGCACTGTGACACCAGCCCACGACCCTGTGTACCAGGTCACAACACCACTCTTTTGACAGCCAAGACTGTGGTCTGACGAGTGGCCACTGAGGTCAGCCCCTCCAACGCCATCTCCTCTGGTTCCAGATAAGATTGAAGATGAGTTGGAAATGACCATGGTTTGCCATCGGCCCGAGGGACTGGAGCAGCTTGAGGCCCAGACCAACTTCACCAAGAGGGAGCTGCAAGTCCTTTATCGAGGCTTCAAAAATGTAAGGCCCACAGGGCATCTGAAGGCCCAGGCAGAATTTCCCACCTGAAGCTAAGTCTTCCAAATGCCAACGGGGCCCATCAGGGAGCTCTTCCATATATGTAGTTGTAAAAGAAAGGCCAATTCTCTAAAGGGGGCATGAAAGCAAGATCACCTGGCTAGAAGGAAAGACTCCAGGCAAGAATGAGACAACCTCGATAGATGGGAAACTGGCCAGTAGCCCAGGAACTTCACGGGATGGCAGGCACAACAGTGGAGAATTCACCTTGGCCCAGCTTCTAGCCTTAGCGTAACCCATTCACCCTGTCAATATTGTCCATCCTGATGGGATTTAGCTCTGTGCTAACTGAGCTCATGGAGACTGATGTGTAAGCCTGAATGCCAGTGTATTAATTTGCCACATGATTTCCTATATTAAACCTCATGATAGCCTTGTCGGGAAGGTACTGTTAGCCCCATTTTACAGGTAAGGACATTGAGGATCAGAGCCTAACTCACTCAAAGCCACAAAGCCTAGAAGAGGCTGAGCCAGGATCCAAATCCAGGTCTTCCTAAGCCCAAATCCCAAGCTCTTTCCACCTCATGGTGCCCATTCTCATCATTTTGTAAAGCAGCTTCAGTCCTAAGGTGGGTCTATGTCCCAGCTACTCACTTGGAGACACAGAATTGTGCAGGTGGTTGTCCAGTCCCTGCTCATCAGGGATAATAGGGAAAAATAAAATCCCAAGGCTGGACCCAGTCTCCTCTTTCTGGGGTGGGCCCCCATCCCTCCCACTTACTCTCTCGCCTTCATACAGGAGTGCCCCAGTGGTGTGGTCAATGAAGAAACATTCAAACAGATCTACGCTCAGTTTTTCCCTCATGGAGGTGAGTCTGATCTTGAAAAGATCCTTCCCAGCTCCCTCTCTGGTGAGCAGCCTTTCTTCCTCCAAGTTCATGCTTCTTGTTATCTGCCTCCTCCTCAAGGTCAAGGACAACTCAGGGTAAGATTTCCCTCCCTTATTACAAGATACAGAATTAGCTAAAGCTTTAGCAGAAAAGAGCTCTGAAATGGATCATTTCCAGAAGAGGAGAGATTAACAAAGCAATATCACAAAGTCTCATAACAGCTCTAGACAGCAGGCACTGCACTATATGCCCAATGGGGCAACTACATCTCAGAGAAGTTAAGCAATTCACTCAAGGTCACACAGCTAGTAAGTGGCAGAGCAGGATTCCATCCCACAAGCGTCTGATGAAAAGCTTTGCCCTGTTGGTCCCACCATTGTGCCCCAAGCTCTCCATTCTTTCCCTCACAACAGCTGAGGCAAGGTGGAATTTTGAAAGAGAACTTTAATAAATACCGGAGACTGTAGAAATAAATGAATCCAAGAAAATGGAGGGAACATAAAGTAGTGCATCTGAGTCCAGGTTAATGAGTGCTCCAGGCCCATGGCCACTGTGTTGCCATGCCTGACTGCTGAAGGAAGCTGCTCTGGCTCCATGGGCCTAGGACATCTGTGGCTTTTCCCATGGCTTCCATGTGTCACATGCCGACTCCTTTCCTGCCCCCGAGAGTTATCCCCTGCAGGAGCCCTCCCTGATCCTGGGTCCTGACGAAATGGAGATCCAAGTGTCCTGAACACTTCTTAGGCTCTGTTTCCCCTGGGCCTCTTCAGCAGCAGAGGGGGCCTTCCTAGGTGTGGGGACCCACTACAGGGTCCCTACCCAAGTTGCGGGGGGCGGGTACGGCTTCACCCCACACAGGCCCCAGAATCACTGTTGTCGAGTTCTATTGAGCCACATTTTTTTGAATTTTGATCATGTGGCAGGCCTGGTGATGGTTTTGATGATGTGACTATGTGAAAAATTTAACATGCTTTTTCAAAAATTCGAAGAGATAGGTCTTGCTACATCCCTTTGTAAGAGATGGGAGAAAGGCGCTCAGAGATATTCTGCTAGATGCCTGTGGTCACACAGCTAAATAGGGACAGAGCTGCTAACCAAGCCCAGGTCTGTCTGCTCCCTGGTGAGTGCTCACTCCATGGCATTGCACTACCACTTGGGAGAGCTTCTTCTGCACACAGTTGCCATGTTACCCACACACCAAGAATTACCCACCCAGGCAGGCAGGAGGGTCTTTCTCCCGGGAAGACTAGATGGAGGGGCAAGGGCCTGTCTTTGCTGTAAGAACTTCCCACCTAAACCCCAAGACAGCCACCTGGGTCCCAGTTTCCACAGTGGGTTTGCCCACACCCCGTTTCCACCTTCCCATCACCCCAGCAGCACCCTCTTCTACTTCTTATTGTTTCCAAGCGTTCTCGCTCCCCTCTGTGAAGCCCCGGCTCCCGTCACCTGCCTTTCCTTCTGTGCCTTGCAGATGCCAGCATGTATGCTCATTACCTCTTCCACGCCTTCGACACCACCCAGACAGGCTCTGTGAAGTTCGAGGTACGCTTGTCTCTGAGTCCCGGGCCCCCCCCCCACCTCCTCCTCTAAGCTGTGGCCTATTGAAGGGACAGTTGGATCATCAAACACTTCAGTCTTTTGTCCACTTAACAAGCATTTCCTAAGATAGGGAAGGATGCAGCAGCTGCCCCTCCCCTCCAGGAGCTCAGGGCCTCGAGGGACTACAGATAACAGCTGAATAGCTCACATGCATGGAGCTAGCCATGTGACAGACTCTACACTAGTGCCTTGCATGGATTAATTCATTTAGTCCCCACAGTAACCCTACAAGGTCCAGTTCTATGATTTATTACCAGTTTGCAGAAGAGGACACTAAGGCAGAGAGAGATGGAGTGGCTTTCCCAAGGTCAAAGAGCTAGGAGGTGGTAAGAGAGGGTTGTGAACTCAGGTAGTAGATTGTAGCCAGTCTTAGGGTAATTGGAGCTGTGGGATAAGGCACTACCAGAAGAGTCTGGAGATGTCAGCACACACATTCTTCCTCAAAGAGACTCTGTCCCCTAGAATGGGCAAGGTAGGGAATGGAAGGGGGGCTGCTTTCACTGAGGTAGGCCATATCCTTCAGGGGACAGCGGACATGGGAGATACCATTTGGTACAAACAGTCATAGAGTCTGACCTGAAGACAGAGCTGCGGCCCACTCCATGGCTTGGTGGTTAATGTCATTTATGCCTCTTCTACTTGTCAGGACTTTGTAACTGCTCTGTCGATTTTACTGAGAGGAACTGTCCATGAGAAGCTAAGGTGGACATTTAATTTGTATGACATCAATAAAGACGGATACATAAACAAAGAGGTAAGTGAGCTGAGGCGAGAGGCATGAAAGAGCTACAGTGAAGGCATCTAATTATAAGCAGAAAACAGCCCCAGTCACAATCACGAGGAGGAAGTTGTCTGAATGAAGAGGGATCTGCTTTGGGGCTAACAGAGCTGATTCCTGGCAAAAGGAAGAAGGTCACCTTTGACCTCCCCCATTGCTCTACCCTGCCCTGTTCCCAAGCACTCAAGAAAGGATTAAGCAGATTCATTCATTGTCACTGGGTCCCTTATATTCAATGCACATTCCAAAGGGGTGTCATGCTTTTAGTGTAGACTCTTACTCTTCCCAGGGGAACCCACATTTAGCAGGTTGAGAGCCGCAAGTTAAAACTGAAAGTTGGAATGATCGAGTTGAAAACACCATCTAGAAGAGAGAAGGGACATTTTTGAGGAAGAGGGGACTATAATAGGATCATATTGGCCACAATCTATTTTGCCTACTAATAAAACCATAGGAGGGGATGATGGCAGGTGCAGCTATCTCTAAACACATCACAAACAATTTCTGACTCTTCACTGCTTGACACTTTTAGATCCTCGGAGTTACATGTGGTGTCTAGACAATGAAATACCCACAGATCTATCTCAAAACTCACTTTGATATCTACTGTATCTTGGTCTCTCAGTTGCAGTGTGGACCCTGTAACATCCCACTCCCCGAGTTTCTATGTGCTGGGCGCAGTGTCTAGAGCTACAAATGTCATCTCCAATTTTCACTTCAACCCTGCTGAGCTCTCTAATGTTCATGCCTCATTCATTCAGTCAAGTATTTGCTCAATGTATATTTGAGGGCTTGTAAGGTGTTCTAGGTGCTGAAAATAAAGTGGTGGATGATTCCCCTGAGTGTAAAAACCCTAATATCCACTAGTAACAGATATGTTCAATGAATTCCAGTAAATTCATGTAATGGAATAACAGGTGGCCATTTAAAGTCACACAAAAGTAAGAAGATGTAAAAATTCGTCTGACACATTACATTTAAAAAATCACCTTATAGGGGCACCTGGGTGGCTCAGTCGGTTAAGCATCTGCTTTTGGCTCAGGTCATGATCCTGGGGTCCTGGGATTGAGTCCCGCATTAGGCTCCCTGCTCAGCAGGGAGTCTGCTTCTCCCTGTCCCTCTGCTCCTCCCCTCCACTCATGCTTGTTCTCTCTCTCTCTCTCAAATACATAAATAAAATCTTCAAAGAAAAATAAAAATCACTTTATAAATAGTATGTATAATATTATCTCAATTTTGCAAATAATTTAATGCTTCTATACCTACTCAAATTTATGATACTCCAAAATATTCAAATACTACTTCACAAAATATATAAAGAAAGGACCCTAAAATGGGACTTACAACACAGTTTTCAACCTTGGTGCAGTCATAATTCCATCACTGAATAACCTCACTAAGTCCTGCTCCCTCTTTCTTACTTGCAGACTAGACAAAATTGTCGCCATTAATACCCATCAGACCTCTCTAGATGGCAGAATTAATAAAGTACCTCCTAAAAGAAAAAGAAAGTGTGAATAAGCAGCTTCCTAGAAAAGACAACTGGAACCTCTCCTGGCAATCATTTGGAGATAATCTCATCCAAATTAGGCAATGAAAATCCTGAGAGAGCAATTAAAATTGGTGTTTAAATTCTTTCTCTTAATAAAGGTACTCAGGAAAGAACCTATGATAACGTGGATGTGAGGGACTTATGAAGACATTTTAAAATAAACACTTGGAGGGGCGCCTGGGTGGCTCAGTTGTTAAGCGTCTGCCTTCGGCTCAGGTCATGATCCCAGGGTCCTGGGATAGAGCCCCGCATCGGGCTCCCTGCTCAGCGGGAAGCCTGCTTCCCCTTTCACACTCCCCTTGCTTGTGTTCCCTCTCTCGCTGTCTCTCTCTCTCTGTCAAATAAATAAATAAATAAAATCTTTAAAAAATAAAAAAATAAACACATGGATAGAGACGTTTATCTCCTAGTTCTGCCTATTGGGAGGGCCTAAGACAATGACACCCTCTAGCAATGAGGATACCTTGCACCCAGACCTTGGTTTCTGAACACCAGACTCCAGTTAAAGGAATCAGTCTCCTTGCAGAAGTCAGTGATACCAGGACTGGGAACAAGAAAATACAAGATCAGCCTGGAGTACCTTGTAGTGCTGGAAAATATTGAAGTGCTTAAAAAAGAAAAAAAGAAAAGGATGGGACATGTCAAAAAGCTACAGGAATCAGTCTGAAGGAGTTCCCAATCACCAAAACAGAACAATTTGAGCAACAAAATTAAAAATGTTAGTATTAGATTATAAGCTATAAAATAAAGAAAATATCCATGAGTCCCTACTAAATTATATATACATAATTACAGATTATATATATGCAAATATGTGTTCAAATAAATAATAAATATGTATTCAAATAAATAATTGAATTCATAGACAAATGGGGGATAAGGGACAACTCTTCCTTAAAGAAGAATTCCAATTAATAAATAAAGAAGGAATAAAGGAAATACAAAATCAGCATTAGGCAAGCACCACAATAATAATTTTTGCAGGCAAGACCCACTGAAAGATACTAAAATCAGTGGAAGAACTTGGCAGGCAGGCACCACCTTGATCAAGTCATCAAGGTTCATATCGCCATTAATAAGATATATCAACTCCCTGTACCTCTTTGACATGATGTACCAAGAAGGATATAATATCACTTCTATGGTATTCTCGACAAAAATGTATAACTTCAATCTTATCATAAGAAAACCAGGGACTAACCTAAACAGAGACATAAAATAACTTACCAGCACTATATCAGAAGTGTCTTGGTCTTGAAAGACAAAGGGTGAGAAACTGTCACAGGTTAGAGGAGACTAAGGGGACACACAACTAGATGGATTAGGGATCCTTAACCATAAAAAAGACACCAAGGAAAAATCTAATGAAATGTGAATAAGCTCCATAGTTTTGTTAATAGCCCTGCATAGCATTGTTGTAGCATTGTTAATTCCCTGGGTTTGATCACTGTGCTGTGCTTTGGCAAGTTAGGAGAAGCTGGGTCAAAGGTATACATGAATGTTCTGTTCTATTCTTGCAACTTTTGTGTAAGTCTAATATTATTTAAAATAGGTTAAAAACGAATAAAAACAATAAAATAAGCACATGGAATGAGGAGCAGCAGACAAGGAACCCAGGAGAAAGGCCGTTCCCTGGGTCTCCACAGACATTATTTCAAAGATCTCAAAGACAAGGCTGTCCTCCTACGCCCTCTTTCCTGCATTCCAAGGAGGGGCCATGGAATACTGTGCTTGGCCAGTGTGATCAGAACATCACAGAGCCACTCAGCAGTTACTGGGTTCCTTGCCCATGCAGAGACCTTAGCAATGAAGGATCGTGTATATGTCCTCATGAGCTCACAGTCTTGAGGAAACAGAGCTACACTAATAATAAGAACAACTTAACTCTTGGGTGCCTGGGTGGCTCCGGTTGGTTAAGCGACTGCCTTCGGCTCAGGTCATGATCCTGGAGTCCCTGGATCGAGTCCCGCATCGGGCTCCCTGCTCGGCAGGGAGTCTGCTTCTCCCTCTGACCCTCCCCCCTCTCATGTGCTCTCTCTCATTCTCTCTCTCTCAAATAAATAAATAAAATCTTTAAAAAAAAAAAGAACAACTTAACTCTTTTAACAAGTACTTAATGATCACTTACTCTGTATGGAGAAGCATTGAGAGATTAGAAAGAAAACATGACAGGATTTGTACCATCTATCAGGCCCCATAAAACAAAAAAGACTTTGTAGAAAGCGGTCTTTTGGTTACAAAGATAAAAGATCATCAACATAAACTAGCTTAAATTGAGAGGTTTCCTAAAAGGTATAGCTAGTCTGATGGAACATGTGAAATCCCCACTGAAGCTAGAAGATTGTTAGTCTCCAGTCTCTCTCTCTCCCCTCACCTCTTCTTTCCTCTCTCTTCCCTCCCCCTCCTCCAGCATTGCTGAGATCAAGACGGCCACACTTTCTTCTGCAGAAATGACACATTCAAGTTGCTAGCAATATAGGGGTGGGGAGGCACAAGAAGAGGTTTTAGTTTATAGCGTAACCATTCTGAGACACTGCCCGTCTGGGGCTTCTCCCAGTCTTTGTAACTGTCTGTCTTCTTCACTTGTTTTTCTCAGAGAGCCTCTGAGTGTGTGTGATTGTGTATATGTGTGTGTGAGTGTGTGTATGAGAAAGTGTGTGTGTATGTGTTTGTGTGTGAGAGTGTGTGTGAAAGAGTATGTGTGTGTGAAAGAGTATGTGTGTGTGAGAGAAAGTGTGTGTGTGAGAGTGTGTATGTGTGTGAATGTGTATATGTGTGTGAGAGAGATTGTGTGTGTGTATGTGTGAGAGAAAGATTGTGTGAGAGAGATTGTGTGTGAGAGTGTGTGTGTGTGTGTGCATGCAGGTGCCCATGCATGTGCTCATGAGAACATTTCTTGTCCCCCGTCAGCGCCATCTCCTTTCTCCCTCTACTCTCTCCTCTCCTCTCCTCTTGCTCTCTCTTTCTCCCTGCATTTTTCTCATCTCTTCTACCTTCTGTGTATTTGCTCCATTTTACTCTTCACAGAAGTTCTACTCTTCTGCAGAAGCTTTTGGTGTCTGCTCTCACTCAACCTCAGGTAAATCCTGGAAATGGCTTGCCTGTGGCACCTACTCTGGCCCTAACTCCACTTGACCTTTGAGCTCCAGAGTTCTAGCGCTCCTGATTACGTTTCTGTGCCTCATCACAGAAAAACAGAGTAGCTCAGCTTTAGTCAGATGTCCACCTTTGTTCCAAAGAGCTGTGGTCACAGGGATGGGTCACCCAGTACAAACACAGCCACCTGGACCCAACCATTCAAAGGAATTGTGGAGTGGGGACAGGGTCTTCCAAAAATGGGGTGTGAGTTCATCAGTACACACACGTTCACCCCAATCCCACACATAATCCCTCACTGAGGATAATGCTCAAGAAAAGGTAACCTACCCAAGAGCCTCTGAAGGGGAAGAGAATTTCCCGCCACCCTCTCTCTAGGAGGAGGTTCGCAGTATATAGCCCCTTCGCTTGCTCTCTAACTCCCTCTCATCAGCTGAAGAGAGTCCCTGGGATCACCTTCATTCACAAGTGTAACAAGGAGCCCCAAACTGTCACCTAAAAACCTCATGGTTCCCATACTGTGCTTCCATATCATCTCTCCAGGAGATGATGGACATCGTCAAAGCCATCTACGACATGATGGGGAAATATACATATCCCGTGCTCAAAGAAGACACTCCAAGGCAGCATGTGGATGTCTTCTTCCAGGTAAGTGCACACACACTGTGCATGAGCTTTAAGCCCAACGTAGGCCAGTCAACCCACAAGCATCTGAACAAGTGGTGTGTGTGCAACTCTGTTCTAAGCATTGTAGAAAACAGAAAAGAATTACAAGATATGCTGACCTCAAGTAATAGATGATCTCATTAAGCAGGCAAGTATATACTACAGAATAGAATAGGGAAGTATATTACGAAGTATAAATGCTACCGTATAGCCTCTAAGTTCCATAAAAATTCTTGGTGGAGCAGAGTAGCCAGAGAAGATGTCATTAAGCACGTTTATGCAGGTGTTAAGGCTTTATGTCTGGGGAGTAACGGAAAATAAAGTTGGAAACAAGGGTGGGCTGGGTTGAGATCTTTAATTGAAGAGGTTTAGCCTTGCTTGGATGACTACAGTTACTCCATAAGTGGAAGAGTGGCATGACCAGAATGGTGTTTTAGTAAAAAAGCAAGCTAGTGGTAAAGTTTTGAAGAATGTCCAAGCTCATTCTAGTCTAATCCTCTCACTTTGCAGATGGGAAAAGCGGAGGCTCAGAGAGGCTTAAAGACTCACTCAAGGTCACACAGTAAGTGACAGAGAAGAAGTCGAACCTCTCATGTGCAGCGTTCTCTCTGCCAGGTGGACAGGCTGGGAGAGAGTCTGGGGAACACATATTAGGGTGTCAGCAGAATAATCTGGTGATGAGGGAATGAGAGTCTGGAGCAAGTCTTTCCATTTTAAGGAAGCTCATGGGGGTCAAAGGGCTATAACCAGGGCCTGGGTGGAGTTGTCTGGCCAGTGAAAGACCACCTTGATTCTCAGGGCAAAGGTGGTTAACAAAGAGCAAGTTTTGGAATGCAGATTACCAGGTTCGTTAAAATTCTTCCTGTTGTGTCTTCCAGAAAATGGACAAAAATAAAGATGGCATCGTGACTTTAGATGAATTTCTTGAATCCTGTCAGGAGGTAAGGAGAGACCTCAGAGCACAAAACCTCTAGATCTGGGAAAGGAAATCTGGGGGCTGGGGACCGGCAGGAGGGCGAAAATGAGAAACCTGCAGCCTCAGGTCAGAGCCACCACTACCAACCCCACCAGCAGCAACTCAGAATTCCAACAATCTCCACTCCTCCAAATGGCCTGTGGTTGGTCTTGGCTAAACACAGTCTGAGCCAGACAGCCTGAGAAGGATTGGGGGTGGGGGGGGATGTGAAAGCCCAGAGGGGGTCTCTGTGAAACCAAAGACTTCCCAAGTGGGCAACACTCATTTTTTAACCTGCTTCTGGCTCGATGACCCACTCCTCAGACTACAAGGGAGTAGCTGGGAAAAAAACCGAAAACTGAAATTCTCAAGCCATAGTATACCCAAGAATTGCCCAGATGATTCTGAAAATGAACACTAGATGGGGGGCGGGGGGGGGAGGGTGCTGTAGAAATCTTTGTTTTAACACAAATGCCCTGGGGATCAAGGCTTCTAAAACTTTAATGGGCAACCCAACCTCCTTGAAGATCTGGTTAAAATGTAGATTCTAATTCAATAGGTCTGGAGGGGATTTTGAGGCGCTACTATTCTAACGCTCTCCCAGGTCAAGCTGGTGCTGCAGGTCCTTGGACCACATTGTCACTCGTTGAAAGGATAGACTAGCCCAGAGTCTCTGCCAGAAAATGAACTGGAAATAGTTGCTTTCATCTGCTTTAGAAAAATGCATTTCCATCCCCACCTTATTTCAGAAAAGTACGCAGTCACTCTGAGCTCACCCAGTTAGAGCTGCAGGTGCACAAAACTGGGGAGAAGTCACCAACACGTACTGAGCACCTACCAAGTTTCAGGTATATGCATACACCTCACAACAGTTCTGAGAGGTGGTGGCGTTTTATCCAAGGTGATATTCAAAATATTCAATAATGAGAGTGGACTGAGAATTGACCACTCTTAACTGACCTTGACTAATGCCATGGAGCATGCCCTAAAGGGACCCTTCTAAGCTTGCCAGTCTGTTAGCTGACGGATCTTTGGGTGTTCCGGGGGTCCTGGACCAGTTACCAGAGAGACAGAGGGAAAGATGCTGGGTGGGAGGCTCAGGTCAGCAGTTATTTACCAACAAGGCTAGAAATATTTCAACATGTTAATCATCATGAACTGGGTGACCGGCAGAACTGATCATGCCCATTTTAAAGAAGAGAAAACTGAGACATTGCAAAGTTAAGAGATATGGCTAAGGCAGAGTAGGTGACAGAGATCAGAGATGGAAACTGAACTCCATCATTCTAATTTTAAATTCTATGCCCTACTTAGGTGTCCTTTTTTGACTTTGCTTCAGAGGTGAGTGAAGTTTTTAAATTCGTTTAGTTTCTCACATTAGCAACCTCTATAGCTATTCATTAATTCACTTACTTTTTGCTCACAACCCACCCATAGGTAGATACTGTGATCGATGCTATTTTACATATAAAGAAACTGAGGCACAGAGGGATTAAATAATTAGCCCAAGGCCACCCAGCTAGTAAATGACAGATCCAGATTTGAATCTAGGCAGCCTGACTCCAGAACCCATAGACTTACTTTAAAAGTTCTAGCAACTTTTAAAAGATTTCAAACACCTAGAATCAACTTTTGTCTTTGTTGATTTTTTTTTCTGTTATAGGTCTGCTTTCTGTTTTATCATTTGTGTTCTAAATTATCTTTTTCCTTCTATTTTATTTTAATTTAATTTTGGGGGCTTTTTTTCTAGCTTTTTGAGATGAAGATTTAGGTCATTCTTTTCAACCATTCTTTTCCAGTATGTTCACATAAAGGGATAAAATTTCCTTTAAGTACTGTTTTAGATCCCACATATTTTAATATGTCATATTTTCATCATATTTTAATTCAAAATATTTTCTTCTCTGACCCATGAACTTAAAAGTATGTTGCTTAATAGCTAAGCATTTGAGGATCTTCTACACTCAATACTTATTTCTTAGAGAATATACACTAGAAAAAAGTAAAATAGAGAACATATAATGGAGACATGCAATAAAAAAATCAATAAAACCAAAATTTGCCTCTTTGCAAAAATTAATAAAATTGACAAATGCTTAGCAAGATTGATTTAAACAAAAGAGAAAGAGAGAGAAAGCTCAAACTATCAGTATCAGGAGTGAAAGGGTAACAACGCTACAGGATTTACAGATTATAAAGATAATAGTTCATTATTCGACAAATTTGACAACATATGAAATCCACAAATTCCTTGCAAATATAATTTATCAAAACTAACACAAAAAGAAATAGAAAATCTGAATAGTCCTATGTATGTTAAAGAAATTGAATCTGTAATTTAAAATTTTCCCATAAAGAAAATGGCAGACACAGATGTCTTACCCCATAAATTCTTTCAAACTCTTTCCAAGGAATAAGCGATATTAATCTCACACAAACTCAGAGAAGAGAGAAAGAGGAAAAACTTCTCAACTTGATTTATGAAGCTATCATAACCCTAATATGAAAACATGGCAAAGCCATTACAAAATAAAATGTTCAGGCTAATATATTCCCTCTGGATATAGGAGTAAAAAATCAAATCCAGTAATATGTAAAAAAAAAAAAAAAAAGAACAGAAAGGTTTATTACAGAAATGCCAGTTTGGTTTAACATTCAAGAATCAACCAATATAATTAATAACAGAATTTTTAAAAAATGCAGTCCTCTCAGTAGATGTCGAAAAATCATTTGATAAAATGCAGTTGCGCAGAGCTTCTTAAAAAAGGTAATATTCACTGTTTCACTCGATGCTTTATTTCTTACAAATTTCTTAAGGCCAGGGTACCTGGGTGGCTAAGTCGGTTAAGGCTAAGTCTGCCTTCGGCTCAGGTCATGATCCCAGGGTCCTGGGATCAAGTCCCACATTGGGCTCCCTGCTCCGTGGGGAGTCTGCTTCTCCCTCGGCCTCTTCCTCTCTCTCTCTCATGAATAAATAAATAAAATTTTAAAAAACAACAACAACAATTTCCTAAGGCCAGAGAAGGTGCTTCTTGCCTTGAATTGCTCACTCTCTGGGCCCCCATTCTTTTTTCCTATTTCTAGTGCCCTTGCAGCATTCTTTCTGCATGGGAAACCCACACTAGAGACATGCTCACTATTACAGAGCTTCTCAGGGAGGAGCCTCAGAGAGTTCTAACCATCCTCTCTTTTCCCCCTCCTCCCCTCCCAGGATGACAACATCATGAGGTCCCTCCAGCTATTCCAAAATGTCATGTGACTATGGACATAGCCATCCAGCTCTCAGAGACATTGTACTGAACAACCACCTCTTAACACCTTGATCTGCCCTTGTTCTGATTTTGCACACCGACTCTTGGGACAGAAACACCTTTTACATTTTGGAAGAATTCTCCGCTGGAGACTTTCTATGGAACCCAGCATCACATGGCTCAGTCTCTGATTGCAAACTCTTCCTTCTCCATCTTCTTGAGAGAGAGAAGATGAAATTGGGTTTGTTTTGGAAGCATGCTCATCTCTTCATGCTGCTGCCCTATGGAAGGTCCCTCTGCTTGAGCTTAAACAGTAATGCACACTTTTCTGCTTGCGTGACCCAGCCCACTGCCTCTGAGTCCAGCAGACCTTGATGTATCCGGAAGCAAGATGACCTGAGCCAAATGCACACCATCCTCTAGTGGCCTCCCAAACCAATGTGCCTGTTTCCCTTCTTTTGGTGGGAAGAATGAGCATTATACAGAACAATATGAATCCGTATATGACTAGATTGGGAGAGCCAGCACCTAACATATGTAGGATAGAACTGAATTCTTAAGCATGGCATTGTCTGGTGACCCAAACTGCCCAAATCCTTTGTTTCCAGAGGCAAGAACCAATAATTCTTTCTCACACTGGCATTTGTGCTGGTAGTGCAAGTCCCTTGATGTGCCCAGGAAAAGAGCCAATGCCCAGTGGTCCATGCCCTCACTCCATCTCCTGCTAGAGCCTAGCACTGCATGCCCCTCCCAGAAAGCCCAGAATGCCTGCAAATTGTAATTTTATACCATGTTCTAATCAATAAACAGAACTATTTCTTACACTCTTAATCTTCATTTCCTCCATAACTCAATTGGCCAGGAGAGTAAGCTGTGAAAACGGAAGGCTCGTCCATTCAGTTGGCATCCAGCTATTTGTACTTACTTTGTGCCAGACCCAGTGCCAATCAGTCATCATCTTCCACTACCCCCAAGCAAGCATCTCATTTAAATGCAAATACTGTGACTAAAAGCAAATATGTCTTTAAGATGAGACCCCCCCCTCACAACACCTTCCTTCCAACAAGATTGCCACTCTCAAGACCCTCAGCTGTAGAAAGTCTGGAGCCTCATATGATATGGTTGGGGATACAGAGATGAAGAGGTGGCCAGAAGCTCCTGCTGAGGGGCTTGGAGTCCAGGGGTTGACCAAGTGGCTTCAACCAAAAGCAACAAATTATTACTTATGTTGGACACTATGTCTTAGAGTCCCCATTTAACATCACATTAAAAAAGATGAAGAGCTAACCATGGCGTTCTTGGAAGTAAAGCAATTTACTGAACACCTATTATGTGCCAGATAATGCACTAGGGGCTTACATACATTATCTCATTTCATGTTGATGTAGGGCATTCTGGGAAATAGAGTCCTCATTTTCCTGGTTTGGACCTGAAGAGGTAAGGGCACCTACCTAGGGTAGCACAGCTCCATAGAGATTAAACTCTTCCCACTCCATCATAGAGCCTTCCTGCCAAGGGATTCTGTCTCTCCCCAAGGAACTGAAGGTACACACACAAATCTCATTCATCTGTAGTCAGTTCAAAGAGGCATGGGTATTTGAATCCAAATAGCAGATGAGGAAACAGATGCACTGAAGGGGAAAGCCATAAGTGCCCATGGACCAAAGCGAGAGCAGGCCACCAAATGTCACACATGCACGAAATACTCCCAGTCTGATTGCCACTGGCTACAATTTCTCACGGTTGGAAATTGTAGAGGATGCGGCTCTGTTTCTCTGGGCCTCCTGAGTGCTGCCATGTGGTCATCTAGGGCTGCTAGACATGTGGCCAGCCCCTAGCAAGGCATACATACACTTAGGCCCAAGCAGAGGATCTGTACTTGTGAACCTTCCCATGTGGGTGGTCTGAACCTGCACCATGAGGCTATACAATGTCTAAGCCATAGTTCTCCACCTTGGCTGAACATCACAATCACCTGGGGCACTTTAAAAAATGCCAGTGCCCGGGCCCCACCCCAGACCAATTGAAGTAGAATCTCTATGAGTGAGGCCTGGGCATCAGGATTCTTTAGAATCTGCTCAGGTGATTGTAATGTACATCCAGAGCTAAGGTGGGGAACTGACCACACCCAGTGCTAAGAATGGAACACATGATCTGAGCCATCTTCCTAACCATAATGATTGATTTAGGGATTGGCTTGATACAAACAGCATGAATCACAAGATTTGTGCTGGGAACAAGAGGACAAAGATGGTCTCTCTCCTACTGGACATGAATGAGATAGTACGCAGTCCTAGGACATGTTGGTAGTGATTTAGGAATTCTGAGGGATTATCTGATAACCAAAGAGCAGATAAACCAGAATCACAGAAGGCAAGGCAGAGATGTGTAAACAAAACAAAACACACCAGAAATTGAAACCTTGATTAGATCACTGAGCTGCTGGATCAAGCTGGACCTGAAGCTAGGAATACCTCTGACCTTTTCAGATGCTTGTGTTAGATACCTATATAAGGTCTAGGCCAGTGTATCTACTCTGGCTGCATATCGTAATCACTTGGGGAACAGAGAAGGGGAAATGTGTGTGTGTGTGTGTGTTTTCCCCCAATTTTATTTAAATGACAGCACTGTATTAGTTGAAGGGGTATAGCATGATTTGACTTACATGTATTGTAATTGTTTTTTTTATTAACATATAATGTACTATTTGTTTCAGGGGTACAGGTCTGTAATTCATCAGTCTTACACAATTCACAGTGCTCACCATAGCACATACCCTCCCCAATGTCCATCACCTAGCCACCCCATCCCTCCCACCCCCCACAACTCCAAACAAACCCTCAGTTTGTTTCCTGAGATTAAGAGTCTCTTATGGTTTGTCTTCCTCTCTGGTTTCATCTTGTTTCATTTTCCCTCCCTTCCCCTATGATCCTCTGTCTTGTTTCTCAAATTCCTCATATCAGTGAGATCATATAATACTTGCCTTTCTCTGATTGACTTATTTCGCTTAGCATAATACCCTCTAGTTCCATCCACGTCATTGCAAATGGCAAGATTTCATTTTTGATGGCTGCATAATATTCCATTTTATATATATACCACATCTTCTTTACCCATTCATCTGTTGATGGACATCTAGGCTCTTTCCATAGTCTATCTATTGTGGACATTGCTGCTATAAACATTGGGGTGCATGTGCCCCTTCGGATCACTACATTTGTATCTTTGGGGTAAATACCTAGTAGTGCAATTGCTGGGTTGTAGGGTAGCTCTATTTTCAACTTTTTGAGGAACCTCCATACTGTTTTCCAGAGTGGCTGCACCAGCTCGCATTCCCACCAACAGTGTAGGAGGGTTCCCCTTAGAGAAGGGGAAATTTTTAAAGTGCCAGAGGCCTGGACCTTATCCCAGATTAACTGAATAAGAACCTCTACAGGTGGGGCCCACTATGCTTTAAAAGCTCTCCAGGTGATTCCAGTGTACCCCCAGGGCTAAGAGCCCCTGCTGTAGAAAAGTGGAAGGGCTGGTACCCTTCTTCCTGTGCTGGCCAGACCACAAGAAACCCAATTCAGTCCTGAACACCCAATGCCAAGAGGAAAATCAGCATCTGGAGATATTCAGAGAGAAATCAAGATGAAAGGAAGATTCAAAATTGGTCCCGAGATGAATAATCAACAGAAAGAAAGTTGGTTGTCCTCAGGGTGGGGGTAGGGAGCAACCTGTTGCAGCAATTGCAAGGGTATGGGTTACCATTCATCAAAGCTTTTAATAAAGGAACAATTCAACACCCAAAAATCAAATAATCCAACCCAAAAGACACGAATAGACATTTCTCCAAAGAAGACCTGCAGATGACCAACAGACACATGAAAAGATGCATAACATCATCAAGGAAATGCAAATCAAAACTACAATGCAATATCACCTCATACCTGTCAGAATGGCTAAAATCAAAAACACAAGAAATGATGTGACAACGAGAATGTGGAGAAAAAGGAACCCTTGTGCACTGTTGGTGGGAATGCAAACTGGTGCAGTGACTCTGGAAAACAGTATGGAGGTTCCTCAAAAAGTTAAAATAGAACTACCCTATAATCCAGTAATCACACTACTGGGCATTTTCCCAAAGAATATGAAAATACTAAGTCAAAAGGATACATGCACCCCTATATTGATAGCAACATTATTTACAACAGCCAGATTATGGAAGCAGCCCAAATGACTACCGATTGATGAATGAATAAAGATGTGGTGTATATATACAATGGAATATTACTCAGTGATCAAAAAGAGTGAAATCTTGCCATTTGCAACAACATGGGTGGAGCTAGAGGGTATCATGTTAAGTGAAGGATGTCAGTGGAAAAAAACAAATACCATGTGATTTCACTCACATGTGGGATTTAAGAAACAAAACAAATGAAAAAAAGATAAAAAGAGACAAACCAAAAAACAGACGCTTAGCTCTAAAGAACAAACTGCTGGTCACCAGAGGGGAGGGCAGTGGGGGGATGGGTGAATCAGGTGATGGGGATTAAAGAGTGCACTTGTGATGAGCACCCGGGTGATGTACAGAATTGCTGAATCACTATATTGTACACCTGAAGCTAAAATAACACTATATGTTAACCATATTGGAATTAAAATTTAAAACTTAATTAAAAGAGTGATATTAAAACAAACAAAAAGCTTTTAATAAAGGAACAAGGAATAAATAAACACTGCAGTTTTCAACGGAGCACAGAAACAAAGAGAGGCCTGTGTTTCGTGAATCCGTGCATCTCTCAGCACTTGGGATACTGGAGAAACAAGGCTCTCCACTTAGGACACCCACCTCCAACCTGTCCTTCTGGAGGGATCCTGCTCCTCCTGAATCATCCAACACATTGTCACCATTTGCCAGTAATTGTGCCTACTGATGGGGATTCATCAGTAGGCTGTCTTACCCAGAAGGCCTCAACACTCACTGTTACCACACAGCTGGACACAACTGTGCCACCTGGAAATGCCTGGGACCTTTGTCTATAACTCTGTCAGAGATAGATGCTGGCTGGGAAGGCTGCACTCTGCCTGTGAGCAGGGCAGGCCAGGAGAATCAGGTAGTTAACACCTCCCTGGAGCAGCCCTTAAGCAATGGCCGATGAGAGCTGGTGTATAAATACCCCCAGACCCATCTCCTTTCCATAGGAAGGACTTTGGGGTACCTTCTCTACCATCTCCCGACTTCTCCAGCAGAACTGAGCCCTAATAGCCACAGCAGTAATGTACTCAACAGTGTACCCCTTATTGACCTCCTTCCCTTCCCTCTCTCATTTCCTGTACTCCCCTACCATTGCTTCTGGGATCTCCTCCCAGATCAGCTACTGGATCCCACATCCTTGTCTCAGTGTTGGCTTCTGGAGGAAACTAACCTAAAATGTTGAATAGGACAGATATGTGTCATGCTCTTACAAACCTTATATCTAGTGGGAGTAAACAGACCATAGATAAAAAGTTTTCGGCAAAGTGACATGAAGAGAATACAAGGGTGACATGGTAGAGAGTGACTGGGGTGGCTGGGGAGGGAGGGATAGCTCCTCTGAGCTGTTCTTGACATGATCTCAGGTGGGCCAGGGGTGGGAAGGATCACCAGGCATTTACAGAAAATCTGGACCTAAGCTTACTATCATTTCTAGCTCAGGAATTCAAGAGTCTATCCCTTGTTCCAATATAGAAATAATGTCTCGAAATACAGAATCCCACTATGACCCATCCTGTGGTTCTCTAACATCACATCTCTAAGTAAATCCTCTGAGCAGAAGCCAGAAAGGCCCCTTGGAGAGGTTCCCAGG